AGTGTATATGAGAAGAGCTTCTGTCAGTTGGCAGCTGCTGAGAATGGTGGTGGTGGTTGTAGTAGTCTTATTGATACTTCTAAGTATCGGAATATATGTATGCAACTGAGGAAGTGTTTGGCTCATCCATATCTATTGGATGATGTAGAGGAGGCTCATATACAGTCTAATCAATCATCAAGTCATTATCATCATTTAGTTAATCGTGTATAGTTAATCCTTCTTATCAGATCCAGATATGACTCCTAAGGAGTTAGAGATGAAGTCCTTAGTTGAGATGTCTGGCAAGATGGTATTCCTAGACAAGTTATTACCTCGTCTAATGGAGACGCAACAGAAGGTTTTGGTCTTCTCACAGATGACCAGAGCATTAGATGTGATAGAGGACTATCTACTATGGAAAGGGTCATATACCATCATCATCAGGGTCATGATTCTACAATCATTTCACTGTAGGTATAAATATGAACGTTTAGATGGTAATGTATCGGGGACTCAACGACAGGAAGCTATTGATCGATTTAACGATACTTCATCACAATCATCACATGGAGCATCTAACAAAGAGATGCCATGGATATTCCTATTATCAACAAGAGCTGGTGGGGTTGGTATCAACCTTACTGCTGCTAATGTTGTGGTTATTTATGATTCTGATTGGAATCCCCAGAATGATATGCAAGCTCAGGCTAGGTATGTCATGATGATGATGTCACTCATCATGTATGTCGTCGCTCGGTCGGTCGGATCACTATTGCAGATGCCATCGTATTGGTCAGAAGAAGGAAGTGAAGGTGTATCGTTTAATAACGAGAGATAGCTATGAGGAGAGGATGTTTGATGTAGCCTCTAAGAAACTTGGATTAGAGCAAGCACTCATGTCTGGTGTCACTAAGAACTCTAAATTAGAGTTATCTAAGAAGGAACTTCAAGACCTTATCAGACGAGGTGAGTATCATCAGCAGTTACAAGGGTTGTTATTATCGATTGCTGATTATAGGTGCCTATGCAGCCTTTGAGGATGATGATGCTAACAACAGCAACCAACAGAGTACATCTGATGGCTTCCTTGCAGCATCTATAGACGATATCCTATCTAGTGAAAGGACGAAGACTGTCAGGTATCTATCCCCTCCTGCAAGAAGAAGAGTAGTTGTTTAATAGGTATGGTACAGTGGTGGCAGGAGGACAGAAAAGCGCATTCTCCAAGGCTACCTTTGTAGCTAATGTAGCCGATCTCGAGAAGGATGATGATGAGGGAGTAAATAGAGACATGCCCTCATCACAGAGAGTAGGTCATCATCATTATCATCACACTTGTTGTATCCTGACATATTCGATAACATCAGGTTAATGTTGATGATGCCGATTTCTGGCAGAAGCTTGCTGGGGAGGACTTTGATAGGCTAGTATCACAAGGGTTGGTTGGTAGGTCATCATCATCTTGATCCTCCTTCAACAATAGAGTTCAACGGTCTTGATCAGATCCAGGGAGTAGACGGAAGAATGTAGTTAGTTATGTACAGCCATCTTGGGCAGACTACAAGAGAATGGATGGAGGCCCGAGTGCAGCCCGTGTGGATAAGCTTACCTATGCTCAACAAGTAGCGATGGATAAGATACAGAAGCTTGGGTACTCATGATGATGACCTTATCATTATCAAGTATTATCTTAGTACACCATGGACTGATAAAGATACTCGTCATAGATTGAAGGACTTTCTTACATCAGGAGCATATGGTCACTGGTCTGCTATGAGATCATACATCATCGGTAGGTCCATTAGTATTGATGGACCTTAACATATGTAATCCATACAGGCTCCCAAGAAGATATGCCCCCACAGCGGAGCCCATCAGAAGCCTCTTCATCATCATCTTCGAGTGATAGTGAGGAAGATGGTAGGGATACACCTAAGGCACCTAGTAGTAATGAAGGTGATGGTGGTCCAATGGTGGTGGATGAGGTACTGTGTGAGGTCCTCATGCTATCATTCATTGGTGAGTATCATAGGCTAGGGTTATTGGATCATGTCCATTTGTAGGTCTGTTGATAAAGGTTATAGTCCTTTTAGCGGAGCGTAACGTGAACAATGAGGAGGAGGATGATGATTCGGATTATGTACCAGATGGAGCATCAACTGCTAGCTCAACAAGAGGAGAGAATACCCTTCTTGACCAGCTTGAATGGCTTCTCGACATCCCTTTACTCAAGGCAGTTGCCGATACTCTCAACACTACCACTACTACCTCTCTTACTAATACCAATGAGCGCTGTTGGGCTCGTCTATGGGAACGCCTTAAACAAGATGGTCGGAGGGCAACTAGTGGTGGTGTGGACACTGAGTATACGGTGATACTTAATGGTATAGGAACGTTACTCACTAGCAATGTGTCACCAGTAGTGGCCTATCTATTCCCTCAATGGAGTAGGCTAGTTGATGGCAGTATGAAGATGGAGGAGAAGATGGATTACATTGATCAAGCAGCTGAAGAGGCTCAGAAGATGCTAAGTACTTCGCTTCTCTCTTACCTTAATAATATGATGTCTATAGATACTATGAATGCCATACATGGCTTGGTCACTCTAGTGGCACCATCATTACCATCATCCATTGATACTCCCTTCATCGTCACATCAGTAGCAAGAGGTCACGAGAATGATGAGGAGGAGGAGGTCGCTACGATGAGGATGTGTCGGGTCGGGACTAGAGTAGAAGCATTCCATCGAGTAGATGAGGAATGGCAATCAGCTGTATTGAAGGAGAGACATGTTGATGGGACTTGTGAAGTTGAATGGCTTCAACGTAAAGATCAATACCATAGATTTATCAGCTCAGCTTTAATAAGACGTAGTGGGGATAATGAGTATGATGTGAATACTAGTAATGAGCCTAAGTGGATGAAGAGGAGTGCCTTGACTGTGGCTACTACACGTATAAGGCAATGGTGGACCTGTGATGATGATAGAGATCTCATAGGTTAGTTATTAAGGGATGTTATAACACAGACGTATGGTATATCGCCTCATCTTTAGAGGCGATGGCTGCTGGTAGTGGTCTACATACAGTATTGAGGAAGAAGGCGACTCATAGGGTTATACCATATACCTCCCTAAAGCATCGACTAGAGCAGCTACATGTACAATGACTCATAGTTCTTGGTCGTTATCATATTTGGAAATCTTCTGCTGCTGATAGGTTTGGTATGATGAGGATTTCCCTCCCCCTTCAAATGATTTTATTATCTCACGAGTAAAAGCATTGTGGCGAGGTTGGAAGGAGGCTCAGGATATAAACATATGGACTAGCAGTTCTGCTGATCAGGATCAATCAGGATCTAAGGATCTGCTCAGGGTAAACATCATCATCATCATCAGAGTTGGAGGTACCCTTCTTTAGGCTTTTGTGAGACTTACTTTGCGTCATGGAGTACCACCGACTCTATTTGATCCGGTGATAAGGAAGATACCGGGGACTAAGGCAGACTTAGTCCCTCTTATAAGCAGTGGTAGGAGAAGGAGATCTACTTATCTTTAGTAGCTGTATTGAGCTGCTGTGCATTGCAGGTCGATCTAGTCCCTCATCGACGATGCCGATGCATCCCTCTCCTGTAGTCCAACACTCCAAGACTGCCTATGCCATGCCACCATCTAAAGCAGGTAGTAGTAGTATGATGATGAGATGATCCAGTTCCTATACCAGGGATGGGTAGTGTACCACTGAGTACCACAATGAGCCATGGGTCATTAGGCTTACCTCTAGGAACATCTACTATGATGTCTACTCCTCGTAAGCTCATCATCATCAACATCATCAACAGTACTTGCTCAAATTTGTTAGAAGTAGTGAACCTGCCACCACCTTGGAGGTCTGAATCCATCATGCCTAAGGATATACTTAGTCTACGTGAAGTAAATGAATGGTGTTCCTGGGTTATCGATACAGTTGTACCGAGAACCCTTCAGAGGTCTTTATCATCTAGCTCTATTCATCATCTAGTTATCTACTCTAGTTACGCATCCCCGAGTGGAGTATTAAAGCTGACTAAGGCCTATCTTGAGGTCTTACGATGCATTGCTCGAGACGAAGTGTGCACATTGGATGAGCATCCTGATGATGAGCCTATCAATACCAAGACCTTTGAAGATGCAGGCCTATCATTCGCAGCATCATCTAAGGGCAGCAGTAGTAGTCATCATCGGAACCGCGCTAAGGAGGTGGATATAGCTGATGACCAAGTGATGGATAGTAGACTTCTTCCTCTTAGACGGCACGACAGTATTTACGAATGCTTCACCTCCATCATATACTACGGGTACTCGTATTCTATCAGAGCAGCTCAATGAACTGGTATCCCCATCTAACTAGTAGGCAGTGTCAGCAGCTCGGTGTTGGCCACAGTAGTTCAAGGGCACTCTTCGGTCATCCAGGTTCACTAGAAGAACTAAAGCTTAGTACCGATTGGGGCGAGAGGGAGATTATCAACTATTTGCTGAATTTATGCAAAGCAGCTGACATGGATAACTCTGATAATAAGTTTGGGGAGATGACTGTAACACTAGGGAGGATTATGACAAGAGGTTTAAGGATAAGTCGGGGCTTTACTGAAGTAGAGATGAGGTGATAATCATCATCCACCACCACTTACTACTATCCCCCCCTCTTTAAGGGTCATTCAAGAGGCATTCATGCCATTGAAGAAGGCAGCAGCTATAGCAGAAGCTAGACTTAAGGCTGATGCTGTCCGTCGAAAGAAGGTTGAGGCTGAGCCACCAGTATTAGAGAAGTGGGGGAAGTATGGTAGGACTGAAGCAATGGTGAAGATCATAAGGAAGCTTGGAGTACCTCAACAGCTTTGGTCTACTGTACGTTCATTACTACTTTAGTATGGTGCATCATCATTATCATCATCGTCGGTATCATCATTACTCAGTTCCTCGATCTACTAGGGGAATACCGTCCCGTGTACAGCAATTCTCGTACGAAGGTTGGCTTTCGAAAGCCTCTGAATGATAAGATATCATCACCATTGGGTGGTGATCTCGTCGAGGACGATCAGGGCAAGTTCGATGCGATTAGCGCCTGGGATTACATCTTTAGCTCCTCCCAAGGGATCAAAAGTAGGATACTAGGGAGGATATAATAAATCATCCATTATGCATGTAGATGATAAGGCACTACAAGCACGCTTTGTAGGATGTACTAAGCTCAAGTCTTGGTCTAAGGCAGCTATGGAGGAACTTGGTACTCTTTGAGTATCTCTCCCAAGTGATGTATCACTAGGTTCAATTAGCCGTAAAAGCCCTTCGTTAAAGGCTCAGGACTGTATCGACTTTGCCTGTGTATATCTTTGGGAGCTTGCTAGAGGTCTAAGGATGGATTCGGAAAGAGCTGAGGATACTCCTAAGAATCCATTCCATGACGTGATGTAGGAGTATATGAATACTACTAAACATGGTACACTAACTGTTATAGGTTCATACCCTTCACTTCGGTTGATATCGGCTTAGACGGCAAAGAAACACTTCCTCTCATAGGGAAGGATGGGTATACTAGTCTGATAGAGGAATTTGAGGAAATGCAAGTTAAAGCAAGTCTACAAAGTGTGTTTGGTAAATTCCCGAACCCACCAGCCCAAGTAGTAAGAAAGTGAGTACCTACGACTTACCTTATTCTTATTAGTCGACATTGACATTAGAAGATGTCTTTAAGAAGAAGTTGGATGAGCTCATAGAGAGGATTAATAACTTCACTATCATTGATTCGAATACACATGAACCGATTACCATTACTTGGTGGAATCGTGAGACACACGATAGGTAGATAGCAATAGTCCACTGCTCGGTTCTGCTGCTCTTACTTTTGATAGGGCTCTCCTAGCATGTGTGATGGTTCATGGTATGCCTAGTGGATGGGATGATGAAGAGGTCTTAGGCAGCGATCAATTACCATTCTTTTATTGGGCTCGGCAATTCATGCTTGCTACTCAGTAGGATATCAGTAGTAGTGGTGAGGGGGTAGTAATAGCAGTTGTATTATCATAGGGAAGACGGAAATAATAGGAAGAGTCGTCGAAAGTGCAATGATGGTTCTATTAAACAAGAAGGGAGTCTGGCATACAAAGCCTATCACTACCTTATGGATGTTATCAAGCCTGGGATGAGAGATCGTATAATGGGTATCATTGCTCAAGTTGAATTAGCTGTAAAGAATAAAGCAGCTAAGGCAGCTGCTAAGACTACCAATCACCACCACCACCCTCACCATCATAACACAGCTCAGCAGCAGCAGCAGCAACCCTCTATGGACCTGAGTAGACCTGCTCATGGTAAGGCATATGTAGTATGATTATATCGATGACTATAGTCTCCCCCTTTAGGTCTATCACTCGTCTCTATGTCCTCTACCATTAAGGGTACATTCCCTCCACCAACTGAGCCCTTCCCCTACTCTACTACTACTACAAATCCTTCATCATACAGTAACCCTATACCTAAACGTAAGAGGCAAGATCTTGTGGCAGAATCGGCCGCTAATGATGAGAGGTAGTAGTAGTAGTTGATGAAGTTGAAGTGTCCTATTAATGTCCTAGTGTCAGGAGAGCATCCATACAGTCTCCGGATCTAAAGCGTTCACGGCCTGCTGCTGCTCTCGAATCAAGAATGGAAGAAGTTATTGAGATCACTGATTCCTGCTAATACACCATGCATGTCCTCTAGTGCACATCATCATTATCATAGGATTTCTCATCATCAGGTGTAGTGTTAGTAACGACTAATCAATCGTTAGAGAGTATGATGACGACCATTCTCTTACTACTACTTCCTCCTCTCTAGGCATCAGTCTATTGTTGTATGAGTCCAGCATCATCATCATCACCACACATACACTCAGGTCGGGTCCGATGTTTATATACCCCTCCAAATGGCATCATTGATAAGCAGCCTACTACTCCAGTTATATATTGGATGAGTCGAGAGATTAGATCGATGGATAACTGGGCACTGCTGTATGCACAGAATCTTGCATTAGAAGGGAAGCAGCCATTACTAGTAGTCTACAACTTAGCAATAGGGTATCTTGGTGGAGGACTGCGACAACATGTGTTCAAGGTTGGTGGCCTAAGGGTGCTAGCAAAGAATTTACGAGATAAGGGTATATCCTTCCGAGTCGATTACTCTAAGGACTTCCCTAAGGCCCTAAGTAAGATGGTCACTATGCTTGGATGCAGCCATGTGGTCACTGACTTTACACCACTCAAGGTCAATAAAGCTTGGGAGGATGCCTTTATAAAAGAAGCAGAGAGGTTGGGCATCAGGTTCGATCAGGTTGATGCTCATAATATTGTTCCCTGTTGGGTCGCTTCTGATAAACTCGAATACGCGGCTCGAACAATAAGGCCTAGACTCTGGCGCAACTGGGATACCTACTCTACGGAGTTCCCCACTCTACATAAGCATCCATACCATTATGATGGTGCCCATTTCGAGATCACATCAGAGGCCTGCTTTGATATGCTCTTATCAGATAATGAGCAGCAGCTGTTGGCCGGTCTCGATCATGGTGTTAAACCAGTTACTAAGGTGTTGCCTGGTGAGGATGCTGGTCTTGAGCATTTATACACCTTTATTAAGAATATGAAGGGATATAGCCAATTCCGTAATGATCCTACCAAGAATGCTATCTCTGATTTAAGTCCATATTTCCACTACGGCATGGTGAGCCCACAAAGAGCTGTTATGGAGGTGGCTAAGGCGAAGTCTATACCTAAACCCGATAGAGATGCTTTTATTGAGGAGGCATTCATACGTCGTGAACTAGCGGATAACTTCTGCTACTATAACGAGAATTATGATAGATTTGAAGGTTTCCATAATTGGGCTCAGAAGACTCTACAGGATCATGAGGCCGATAAACGAAAGTATGTATATAGTCTGAGTCAGTTGGAGAAGGCTTCAACACATGATGAGCTATGGAATGCTTGTCAGAATCAGATGCTTAAATCTGGTAAGATGCATGGCTATTTACGTATGTATTGGGGTAAGAAGATCCTCGAATGGACAGAGAATCCTAGACAAGCATTAAAGTTTGCTATCTATTTAAACGATAAATATGAATTAGATGGTAGAGATCCCAATGGTTATGTTGGTTGTGCCTGGAGTATTGGTGGTATTCATGACCAAGGATGGGCTGAACGTCCGATATTTGGTAAGATACGTTACATGACATATGATGGATGCAAGAGGAAGTTCGATATACAAAAGTATATAAACAAATGGGGTGGAATTAAGGAGGGTAAGGATGATGATAACTATGGTATCAAAGCATACTTGAAGAAGAGGTCAACAACCGACGGAGAGTCATCTAATGCTGCCTCGAAACGCTCCAAGATTATCACCTCATTACAGTGATACACAGGATATGATTCCTGTCGTCTTAGCCTATACCATGATTTTTCTATACTTATTTAGTTGCGTTGATGTATCAAGTTTGTGGACAGGGTAGTATCAGTAATGGGTAGTGGACGCCTAGACTAGCTTGAACGCAATCGGGGATACGAAACCAAGCAGAAGGTATTACGGAGTTGGCGTGCATCCTCGAAGGTGGAATAGTCTGAGGTGATGAAGCGTTTAGCAGATCGGCCAAAGTCACCCTCTGATATGATATGCATCGGGAGAGTGCGTCCTTGGGGTAAACAGGTTTTGTTGTCTCTAACAAATATCCATAGCTCTCCCTCGTGGTATTCGACTCCATCTGGCCCTTGCCAGGTCCTTGGAACTCTGCACATTAGACCATTGGCGATCAGAGCTGCTGCTTGGCGACGATGTTTGACGGTGATGAGACCCTTATTCGTAGCGTGCCCATAGCGGGACAGTCTTGCCCATGCCGCAGTGTCCTTCAAGTAGGCCGAAAACTCGTGCAGTGCTCTTCGCTGCCGATTGTCGGTAACTTGCTCTTTGATGAATCGGTTGAACTTCTCTACCGCATTATTGGTTCTAGGACCACATCGTTCTCCTGCGTAGGCACCCCATTGGCTACGCCAGTGTCCCTCATCCAAGTATGATCCAAAATCGGTGAGAAAGTCGGATACTGCTGTTTTGTCGATTGCTGTGAGGTCATTCGGACGATCTGAGAGTGGATATATGTAATACTTCTCGTTACTACTTGGTATTACCATTAGTCCATTTTTCGATGAATAGTCTCGTTATTATCTCCCATTCTATACGGCTGGTTGTGCACGCTAGTGATGTCAGGTCCCTGAGTACCTCTCCCCACAGCTCCTTCGGTAGACGAGCTTTAGCCTTGGCCTCCCGTGCTCGCTTCACCACGTGGAAGAAGCAGCTTATGACATCGAAATCGTTGAAAATGGACTCACAAGCTGCATGTATGCTCGCGGAGCCATCCATGACCACCTCTCTAGGCTCACTCTCGGTCAGGCACAACGCTACTGCAGCATTCTTGATCTGGCGCAGACAATGGGCCACAGACGATGCAGATTCGGCATGTACAAGTCCCAGAGCAACTGGTAGTGCAGTCTCTCCTCTAGGAAGAGCACAAACCACCACTATGGCCATATTTGCGAGTACTATGTTGAAACTGCAGTCCACTCCAATGGTGCCACAGTTCCTCATGTTATTCAGCATCCGAGCGCTCGTGGCTACCATGCAGAACTCGTTCACTACGAATCGACCGTTATCAGCTCGTTCTTTCGTACAAAGGATGTCTCCGAGAACCAGGCAGTTATCGGCGGCGAGAAGATTTCGATCGGCTTCTTCATCTAGTATGTCCTCACCGATCACTGTGAGCTCCATGATGACAGGCTTGACTCGGTGGACGAGGTCTTCTATAGAGCATCGCAATGGAGCCAAGCTCTCTATGAACGCCTCGACGCTGAGGCCGCTCTTGCCTCCGGGCCTGAGGGACCTCATCACCGCCCGAACTTTCTCACTCTCGCTCTCGAGCTTCTTGGCCACCATAAACTCGAAGGTGTGTCTTGATCCACGGTAACCACCATCTAGATGCTTCCTCATTGTCCAGTTGATTAGGTCACCTCGGGTCATTCCTGGGCTTTCGGAGATCAGAGCCAACCAGTCGTCTATTATTGGTGGTGGTATGAATGCCGACCTGCAGCGAGTGCTCCCAGGAATATGGGCGTGAGAGCGCCATTGCTCTCTTGAGGCACGCGCAGAAGCCTCACCGTAGAAGTAGCAGTTACCGTTCCGAGCTACGACACATACTTCACGCAGAGGACAGGCATCTTGAGGCCAACAACGCCAGTCCGGCTTGCTACCAGAGATCGGAGTCTTCTGAGAGAATCGGTAAGAAACGCTGCGTTGGCATTCTAGGATGCAACTTGCTCTCCCAGACTTCAGGCGATCGATAGTTGTCCGCGTTAGATTGTAATGTGGACATTCGGCGAGGTAGGCCACCACGACGTCATGAATCGATCCCTCGCATATCAGGAAGGCTCGCTGTTCGAAACGATCTTTTCCTGAGCCTGCATCAGCCTGAGCCATTTCGCTGAGCTCGTCGAAGTCAGCCGCCTCTCCTTCAGAGTTAATGCAGGAGCTAGTATCATCGTTATTACCTAGTACATCACTGTCGTCAGTTGGAGGTGAGTCTGGCTCTTCCATGTAAGGAGATTGGGAACCTATACCTTGATCAGACACTCTCGCATCTGTGACAGCAGCCGAGCATGCTTCGACTGTTGGGCGAGCGGCGTCTACAGCATCTGCGTTACCGGTCCTGGAGTATGAGGTTCTGGGTCGATTATCATCATCATTCGCGTTTGTGTACTGAGTATCTCCTACATATTTGGCAATTTCTAGTATCTTCTCATCGTCAGGACCGTCAGATTGAGAGACTGTGATGTTGAGATACTCGTCGAGCTGACCATAGAACTCCCACTGATGCTCAGTCGATAAGGCTTCGACAACCATTCGTAAGTCGCCCCGACTCATGCAATAGACCACTGGATTTATCGAAGTTTTACCTGCATTCGTTCTCGACGTATATAGAGTAGCAAAGTGGTTGTATAGTAACGTCCGTGACATGGCCGCTTCGAGCTGAACTGACACACGCTCCGCCGTTTTAGCTGGTGCATCCTCCATATGCTTGACGAGGCTGTCCAGCGTGGCTCTCATATCGCCCATCAATTTCCTGTCTGGCTCAGGGAATGTCGACGATGGATCAGTGCATCTTGATGTTGGGCTGTCTATGAGGCTGTTCTGAGACCTACACCAGGCGTCGAACTCTAGGGCGTCGGTGCCCATCGTGAACATGGGGTTAAGAGTCTGGCTGGTTGAAGCTCTGCGTAAGCCGTCCACTCTCACAGTTTGTCGTGAACCAACTCTTGATAATGCTGTGTAGATGCATCCTTCGAGCCATTCCTGTTGCCAGAATGCAATCTCGTCGGCTTCTCGCTTCTTGGATCGGTTCTTAAACGGAAGATGGAGCCAGATACCATTGAGTGTGAGACCTATCGTACGGTGGGCAGTCATTGCTGCTGCAACCATAATCGGTAGCTGATCTCTTATAAATACCGCTTCGCCGTGTTCGTTGGATAGAGTGTATCGTTCACGGCATACCAATATGGCGTTGCTCTCACCGTCTAGGAGGATGTGGACTCTAGGATCATCTGTAAGTCCTGTTTCAATCCGAGTGACTACTCCTTGTGGCCCATTAGCATAGGTTCCGTTAGGATGGTTGATCGTGGTCATGACGCGACATCCCACCTTCAGCGTGACATGAGTGCGGTACCCCAAAGATGATACCTCTTCTACGTTAAAGTCTCTCGGAGTATGAGGAGTCTTCTGATCGACCGCAGGGAATACTATTTCGTCCCCTTCGATCTGCTCTAGATGCTTCCAGTTATAAAGGTCGGCCTGACCGTTTGTTAAGCATATGCTCGTGTGTTCGAACCTGAAAGAGGGGATTGGAGTTAACGACGAGTACATGGACATCCTTATATGATATTCTATACGTTTACGATGAGTACATGGATACTATTATATGATATTCTATACGTTTACGATGAGTACATGGACACTATTATATGATATTCTATACGTTTACGATGAGTACATGGACACTATTATATGATATTCTATACGTTTACGATGAGTACATGGACACTATTATATGATACTCTATACGTTTACGATGAGTACATGGACACTATTATATGATATTCTATACGTTTACGATGAGTACATGGACACTATTATATGATATTCTATACGTTTACGATGAGTACATGGACACTATTATATGATATTCTATACGTTTACGATGAGCACATGGACACTATTATATGATACTCTATACGTTTACGATGAGTACATGAACACTATTATATGATATTCTATACGTTTACGATGAGTACATGGACACTATTATATGATATTCTATACGTTTACGATGAGTACATGGACACTATTATATGATATTCTATAGTTTACGATGAGTACATGGACACTATTATATGATATTCTATACGTTTACGATGAGTACATGAACACTATTATATGATATTCTATACGTTTACGATGAGTACATGGACACTATTATATGATATTCTATACGTTTACGATGAGCACATGGACACTGTGGTATCATGTTCTCGAAATTTCCGACTACGCCATGCTGCTAAGTTATAGTTATGGATGACTTTCACTGCTTGCTACCTCGGCGCCTTATCACCACCTTCCCTGTCACGTATCCCATCGAGCACTTTCATAGAGGAAGCAGTGAAGTCCGGAACGCCATTCTCCACTCTGGTGCCATTTCTGATCTCTGAAAGCATGCGGAAGTAATCTCCGTCTTGGGAACCACGATGGAAGTTGGTGAGGTAGAACACTCGAGCCTTCATCGCATTCCATGTCTGACTATGCCAACAGGGTTTGGTCGGATAGCTTTCCTTTGGATAGATGTCACTAGAGTGGAATTCTATCCGACCAATTTGGCAGGGATCCCCGCAGATCACGACAGGCATCCCCCCAAACGGGGGACGGATGCCCGAACTCTCTCCAGGTGACGTCCTCACAGCGCTGATGCTATCCGACAGTGCATCGAGCACCGTGTTATGGATTGCAGCCAACTCGTCCAGGATTAGCACCGATCTCTCTGATGTGATATCATTGGTGTGGTGTCGCCGCAGTCCACGAACCATACGACGAGCCAGTTCACTCCTACAACGCATGTAGGCGTTGTCTCCAGGTATTCCGCTCTTGTCGAACTCCAACCCACACAGGGTGTTACATTTCTATATTGCACTTTTCTTGCACTTCGCAAATTGCGCAATTTGCGCAAGTGCAATATCACTGCATGCAAGATAGGAAATTTAGAAAATTTTTTGTTTTAGGCCTAAAAATCATGAAAATCAACAGAAAGTTTGATTCAAAATCAGAGGTTTTTGGATAGTAAACGTTGGTAAACGGTTAGCATGGTCTACGTGTATACTGGAAGTATCTCCCTCTATAAAGTTAGCGGAGCGTCCGCTTTCGACAACCTCGACAAACTGTCGAAAACAACTTCACCTAATAATAACGACAAGTCGTCAAAACGGCCGCTCTGCGACGACATATGCGACTTTCGACAAATACTGTCGAAATTTAGACACTAAAGAATTGTCGAATATACTCATTCTCTCGACAACGTTGGCGAAAGTACGCTACAATTTACTATGTGTAGATTTGGACAACTTAATTACGACAATCATTGTCGAAGGCGATAAACGAGCTTAATACCGAAAACTAGGTGTCGATTCGACACTGTCGAAATAACGAATAATCTCGCTTTCGATAAGTTGTCGATAATACGCTCGCGGGTGAATTCTAAAGAGCCCGCAGTTGACTAATAACGGTTATTTTCTCGATTGCCTCAACGATCGATTTTGCTTTCACGCAAAGACAGCACGCTTCGGACCCTCGGTGTGGATTTCAAGATGGGGATGAGGGTACCAAAGCTGTGCTGTCGATGTCCTGTAGTTTGGGGTTGGCGATGCACACTGAACGGCGATTATAGAACTTGGCAACGGTCGTACCCGAGTTGATCAGACTGAGGATGAGCAAACTGGTCACTTGCGCTTGATGGTCAGTGGAGACCATAATGCACCGCGCTCGGCCATTTTATGGCGAGCGAGAAATACACTGATTCAGGGAAATCCGCTTTGTGGTCCCAGCCTGGCGCTGCCAGGAACTCTGCTGACCTACCGTTCCGACTTCTATGATAAAAGTTTTATCATTCCCAGTTACGTTTTTACCTCTCCGGAAAGCTTGGGGAAAGTCCTTGCGCTTATCAACCATCGTGTTCGGCAGGGTCTGCCGCATCTAGAGCAGGAAATTCCCTCAAGATAACTGAGCTCAGTCCCGTAAAGTTCTTTCTCGCTTCAGAGACTATTCGATGGATCACTGCATTGCAACGTTTGCAATCGAAGACAGAGATATTTGTATATCAGCTCGACACGAAGAGCGATATACGAGTGTTTCTGCGAAGTGCGAAAGGAGATGATCTCTTCATGTTTCCTATGTTGCACAAATTGCTCCAAATTGCCTATATAGCAGTGCAAATTGCAGCAAATTGCAGCAACATTGCAAGATCACTTTGAAAACGCCAAAAGAGAACACCCTGAACCCACAATAACTCATGATTGTGTGAGCCCTAGGGCCCAGATTCCTCGCCGATACGCCAGCCCATGTTAGGACGATAGGATTGAATTCAGCTTTCATGAGGTTCAGCAATTCCTTCAGAACGAAAGACTTGCCAGTTCCAGCATAGCCGGTAACCAGGAAGTAACCTTCACGACAGCTCCCTCTTAGAGCCCCTAAGATTTCCTCACATATTTTAGATTGGTGAGAGTCGAGCTGAGTCATGTACGGAACTCAAAATAACTTGCCTTACATGACAGGTTCAATCGGCAATGCTATTGCTATATATCACTTTCACAACGAGATGCACTTTGCAAAAGAAACGCTTGTGTAGTTTCGCCTCGGCCGTTTCGTCGTTCGTGACGCGCGTTGCGAGTTACATTTCGCGAAATTCAAGTCGTTAACTATGTGTTTCACGATAGAGTGCACGCTTGCGTTCAGGATAGAGTTTTCTAAACTCAATGGGAGCACGTGACCGAAGAACGCAGGAAGGAATGAAGCCTAAGTGCAACAGTTCACCCAAATGCAGATCCTGCGCTTTTCATGCAGTTGCACGAAAAACGAGAATAGAGATGGCATGAGAATATGCCCGTAGTATCCACGGTTGCTTATTCTTGGCTTGGGGTGATCGGCCGGGACCGGCCTAGGCTTTGGTAGATGACACAGCATGATAGGGTGCGAAAGCGGGCCGGAGGCCCGCGTAGAGACTCTGGCAGGCCTTTTCTACGGGGTTGCATACGTTGGGACCGAAAACTGCACACGTTGGGACCGGTGGCCTCGTCGCTACCTCAGACCACCTCGGGTTCGATCCCCGCAGATGTTAATTCTCTGTATTTTTTAATATTCTACACCGTTGTCAAGTTGCTCCAGTTACTAAGCATCATCTCATTGAAGTGTATCCCTTTTGAGCATAATAGGTAATGACCCCACCAATAGCTCCAACTGGTGATATCCAACAAGCTCCCACATCCTCCTCCTCCTCATCCTCAACCTTCATACCGTTTTCCCCTAGTATGATGAATACCCAAGGAAGAGGTAGTATTACTACTGTTGGGATAACGGTCAGTACTATGATGATCTATTAGGTAGGATGCAGTCAGGAGGATTTACACCTAGTACTGGTTTTTATACAACTCCCACTCAACAACAACAACAAGCAGCAGAAGCAGCAGCAGTCGCACAGACTCAATCATTCACTATACCACCCTTGAGTAGTGGAGGAGGTAATATTAAATTCTCTTATTCCTACGGCTCTCTACGTTGTCTATCTAGGTATATCTACTGGTCTACCGGCTACTACTTCTACACCATTCATGAACAGTACTCCAATGACGACTGCTACTTTCCGACGACCAGCCAATCTACCAGCTACCGTTGGTACCTTTCCTACTATGCATAAGGTACAGGTAAATAGAGGAGGGAAAGCACGTAATAAGGCTGATCCCTTTTCTGGTGTATGGTCTTCAATTCTACTTCATGAGCATTGGAGGATACTCTTGTTATTATAATTATTTTCAGGGGATGATTTTGAGAATATGGTTACGGAGTTGAGATCCTCTTATACCTCATGGTTAGATAAGACTGAGGCATCGGTAATAGATCATAGGCATGCTACTGCTGCTGCTGTTGCTGAGTGAGACGGAGTGAGTGGATGCTATCTCAGTTAAATCGTCAACAAGATGATCTAGAGACGGAAAGGAGGGATTTCGAGGAAGAGAAGAAGAGAGTTTGGAAGGACTTTGTAATGATAATGATAGCGGCAATAGTCCGCGTTTAGGCATACTACTCATCATCATCATGTTGTGTATCTCCCAGGTTGATGAGAAGAATAGAGGGATAATGAAGTTAAAAGAGGATCGTAGACGGGCTGACCTTGAGATGCAGAATCAATTCAAACAGGTTATAATCATAATTTTATTATCATCATACAGGTTAGGGTATGGTCGGTATTATCGAGTGTGTAGATCAAAACTGAGCGATCCGATACAAGGAGGAAGATAGAGGCTGACAAGCAGAGGTTTGAACTGGAGAAAGGGGATACTCTACGAAGGTTAATGTTGAAGGAAGATGCTCTCACTGAGGTAGGTGTGTAAGGGTAGTATTATTAGTAGTACGACGATAAGGTGGTATATCGTGTTTCAGGCAAAGGATAAGCTTGAAGTGGAGAGGAATAGGATGGCTGAGCAAACTCTAGCTGCTGAGACTAAGGTCGATATTAATGTTGGAGGTATGGCTAGGTGCTGCTACTACTACTCCTTATGTTATACTTAGGTACACCATTCGAGACCTCTCGTGGTACTCTTATGCAACAACAAGGGACACTATTGGAAGGCTTGGCATCAGGGAGGATTGAGGCACAGCGGGATCGACAAGTACGGTATGCTACTACTATCATCTTAGATCCTCCATTCTAGGGACGAATATTCATCGATAGAGATGCTCATAGTTTTAGACATCTTTTACAATTCTTACGTAATCCTGAGGTAACTATCGTATTATCTCTATATTGCTCCTATATGGTATGAGTAGATACCACCATGCCCTAAAGATGCTACCGATTCAGAGAAGTTGAGTATAGAGGCTAGCCATTATGGGGTATTACTACTACTACCATCATCATTATCATCATCACGATGATGGTGATGATAGTCTGATGGGTGGTACTGTCCATTTTAGATACGTTTCTTCCCGTTTCCCTTAGCTTATGCTATCGGAGGTCATTCTGGTCAGGAGCATCTAAGGAGTGTGGAAGTACTACCTAATCCATAACCATCATTCCTATGATATACTCCTTATTGTAGGTATTGGATGTAGAGCATCAATGTTGGCGTCCTTGCCGTCCTATGAATACCGAGAGTAATCCTAAACATAGACTCCTATCCTGATATCATGGTAGCTAATACCATCTTTAGGGACGTATTTCGGTGCTGCTGGATTCAATTCTCGAGTATATGTCTTTGGAGGGCAAAACCTAGACTACAAGGCACTATGTGATAGTGAGGTTTATGATGCTCTCAGAGATACCTGGATGATTGGGGTAATATCATATGTCTTCTTCTTCCTCCTCCTCATTAGAGTTGTTATCTTAGGCCTCTTTGAATACACCTCGTCGTAACTGTGCTTCTACAATAACAAGTGATGGTAGGATATTCGCAATTGGAGGTTTTGATGGAGTATCGATGCTCTCTAGTGTGGAGGCGTAAGTTATCTTTATTATTCTACTTCTTGATTATATCTACATATGGCTGCTACAATACTTTAGATATGATCCTCGTATGCGTAATTGGATGGAGGTTGCATCAATGAGTACCCCACGCAGTAGCTGTATGGCTGTTGCTGATGCAAGTGGTCGTATATGGGCATTAGGGGGTACATCAGGACGGAGATTAAAGACAGTAGAAATGTAGGCTACAGGGATTGAACCATGGATGTCTGTTGTATGATATCATCTCTGCTTGTCGTCGATATCATAGATATGATATCCGTGCGAACAAATGGTCTTCTACTCCTGGCACTGATATGATTGAGGAAGTCTCTGCTGGTGCTGCTGTATTCTTTGAAGGGAATATCTATGTTATTGGAGGTAGTATCTCTTACTACTACCATCACCATCGCACAGTGGAGATTGTAGTTAATCATTCAGGTACTGATAACTCTCAAATGGTACATTCATCAGTAGAGAGTCTTTCAATAGATGCTATGAATAATGGTTGGAATTACAAGCATCAGGCTAGTACGTAACAGTGTATAGTCATCTCCTTCCTTACGTCATTAGTAGGTACTGAGCGTATGGATTGTTCAGCGGCACCTGTGATGGACTCAATATTATTGGGTGGTGGACAAAATGGAGGAGAGGTAAGATCCTAGAAGAAGTAGTAGTAGCAACAAGGTCTCATTATCATCTGCATTTAGGCTTTATCAACAGTCGAGTTTTACACACCAGATAGCGATGAATGGCAAGCTGGACCACCCATGCTATCACCAAGGTGATCATGATGATATACCTCTTAAGTGCTCATGCTGTGGTGGGTTCATCATTTTCTGATTAGGTATGGACATGAGTATGTTATACTTAGCCTATGATAGTGTCATAATAATACTTATCAATAGTTTCTTTAAGACTACTACTAAACAGCAACAGGTTAACTGTAAAGGTAGAAGATCACTCATCGGCCTCCTCATCTGTTGTGTTCTACTGAAGTGGGTGTATAATATCTATCCTAGTCATAACTGCTCATTAATGACCAATACTAAAGTAGATCCTATTACATGGAGTAATGCGGATAACTGTTGCGTCGTGAAAGATACTAAAGATAAAGGCAGAGCCGTGTTTGCTACGAGATGTTTTAAGCCTGGCGAGGTATATGCCCTTTACTATTACTCTATTTATTGCTGTCTATGGTAGATTGTATATGAGCAGCCACCAGTAGCGAGTATCCTACATCCATGGCTGTGTGATACACACTGCAGTGGTTGTTTTAGTAAGATGGGATCTATTAATGGGAAGTTGAAGACCTGTTCAAGATGTAAAGTAGCACGATATTGTTCTACACAATGTCAAGTAGTAGTATGATTATATAGTGATGAGGTTAGTGGTAATATCAGGCAAGTGACTGGAAGGCTGGTCATAAACGTGAATGTCCTCTTATTACTCGTCTACTAGATGCTGGTATCACTCCACAACAACTTAGTGGTAGTAGTAGCATGTTATGAGCATAGTCCTATACATTATCTCAGATTGTTTCCTAGCTTGGCGTGTAGCATCTGATGATGATACAGTTAATAAAGTTATGACAATGTGTAAGTGTTCACCACAGAGTGTTGAGCACTCCTCTAGTGATGATCCTTCTTTAGGTGTTTTGCATAAACCATCAGATGCTATTGCCATCACAGCAGCGCAGTTCCTATCAATATTATCATCTAGTCATAGTAGTAGGAGTATTCCTACCTTCGATGCTATCCTAGGACTATTGGTACGCTTTCCATGCAATAACTTTGCCATAGTTGATGACCTTTGGAGTGGAATCGCCGCAGGAGTATACCCTAATGCAGCGCTATTCAACCATAGTTGTAGGAGGATAGTAGTAGTAGTGGAGTATGTATCTATTCCTATCATCATAGGCCATCCTAATGTTATACCAGCCTTTGGTCATGGGTCTACATTATCCTTTAGAGCCATACGAGATATATCACCAGGAGAGGTACGTGTGTATTAGGAAAATAGGGTAGTAGATATTATTATGCCTTGCTGCTGCTACTCACTTAGGAGATATGCCATAGTTATGTTGAATTAACTTTACCATCATGGAAGCGCCGAGATGTCCTCCTTAGAGACTATGAATTCTTATGCGAATGCGAGCGTTGTGGAAAGAGAGATGATGAGGCACGTGTTGGTGAGGGGATGGGTGGCCGCCGCTTTGGACAGGTATGCTATGGACCTGTATTAGGATCAGAAGATTGGCGTATGGTCCTTAATGCAGAGGGTAATAGGATAGTACTTACAGATGCTGATCTTTGTGGAACTAAGAGCATGTGTAATGATGATGATGATGATATCCAAGAAGTAGTGTTCAATGCTATTGGCCCACATATACAGGTCCTTTTCATACACTATTCCAAGAGGAACCATCGACCATCCTACGACAGGCATATGAAAGATTATACAGGGGGGACTGCGGTCTTGTAAACTGTGATACTAGGGATGACTTTAGGGCATTAGAAAGGAGTATAATGCTACCTATGGAGAAAGAGCTCTCTCCTACTCATGTACCATATTACTACTATGGTGATGATAAAGGTATGGTAGTAGATACAACTTATGTCAGCAAGTAGCCACTTTGCCATGACTGCTCTTGCTATTGGGGACTTTGATAAAGCCCTGAAGTATATACAACGTGTGATTCAAATGTACCTATGATGTTAGCAGCAGCAGCAGACAGCAGACATATCCTCTGTAGATACTCGGAATACCTTCCAACCTATCACCCATTGATGGGCTTACAATTATTCACTATGGCCGACTTATATAACCAGAAAGGAGATATAATCAATGCTATTGCTGTATACAATAAGTGTAAGGATGTTATATCAGTTTCTCATGGTGTAGACTCTGCTATTTACCATACTCTACTACAAACAATATCCAACCTACCCTCACCACTACTATCACCTACAAGAACAACAACCACGTCTTAACACCAATATATGATATGTGTCGTCGTTACCGGGGGTTCAACAGCCGGTGTAGGACTTCCACCATGGGAGTCTCTTGTTTATTTAGTTTTACATTATTAAATGTTGAGAATATGCCAACAGCAGTTGATGAGTTCGATCTCCCTTAGTGATCATATTATGTGAGCAGGACTTTGAAAGGCCTCGTTGTAAGGTTGCCTAGTATGGTAGCCATTATGAACTACCATATAGACCACCTTGCTGTGGTACTACCATGTCTAGTAGTGTATATGCTCTATATTTCGTAGTATTGTGGTAAAAAGGCATTTGGTATCCTCCATAGAAATCTACTACTCCTAGAGCTAATATTATCATTGCTGCTCGATTACATGATGATGATCATAGATAGTACCTCAGTTAGTGATGTTCAATATAATGATAGAAGAGAGCTATCATAGAGAGTATGCAATTAATAATAATGATAATGAGTATAGTAGGAGTCATGATGATGATGAGGCCGGGATAGATATATATGTTAACAATCTTGCAATCTTTTTGCAACTTGCATTTCCTATTGATCATGATCATGATCAGCGCTTTTTGATTGCTACTACCTATTGCTACTATCTTAATATGGGGTTTGAAGATAGTGAGGCTGATGATTGGCTGAAGCGATTGATGTCGGCATCTACTACTACAACAACACGGAGTAAGAATGATAATAATGAGGAAAGAGGATTACTAATGCCACAAAAGGTATTACTACTACTACTACTTATAAAACCTTGCTTATTATTACCAACTACTGTTGATAATACTGTTAATATGATCCTTAGGATTATATAAGACTCTGTAGAGTTGTTAAGAGTATATTGATTGAGGAGGATACTGTGGTGAGGATTAATAATGATGGTCCAGTAGTAATAGCAGGAGATGTCCATGGACAGTTTTACGATGTCCTAGAGTTATTTAAAGTTGGTGGTGATCTACGTAGAGATCCTACTTTGAGGTAGTATTAGTATTATCTTATTCGTATCTTCATCATAACATCAATGTTTAGATATCTTTTTATGGGAGATTATGTGGATAGAGGTTATAATTCAGTGGAGACTTTGGAACTGTTATTACTACTTAAATTACGTTATCCCAATCGGATAACTCTTTTAAGAGGAAATCATGAGACTAGGCAGATAACACAAGTAGTAATCATGCTCTCCTTACTCATCATACTATCATTATTGTAGGTCTATGGGTTCTATGATGAATGTATACGTAAGTTTGGTAATGCCACAGTATGGCGTATTGCCATGGATCTGTTTGATTATCTACCATTAGCAGCCATAGCTTACGATGTTTTTGCTGTATTAATGCTGCTTACCTAATTACTGCTGTATTATGTTATGATTATTATTAGGTACATGGAGGATTGTCCCCAGAACTTGGTGATATAGATCAGATCCGTTTACTACAGCGAGTACAAGAGGTACCACCTCAAGGTCCATTGTCTGATTTGGTAATACTATAATAATAATACTACTTTCACTGCATCATCATGATCATCATTATCATTCTAGTTATGGTCCGACCCTGATGATAGTGTTAAAGGATGGGAACTTAACCCACGTGGAGCTGGTCTAGTCTTTGGTGCTGATCCTACTAGACAATTTTTACATCATAATGGTCTTAGATTAGTGGCTAGAGCACATCAATTGGTAGCACTAATAGTAATAGCTTATACCCCTACCCTTCCATTATAGGTACAAGAGGGATATAAGTTTATGTTCCCAGCTAGTGAGGCTGATCCTAATGTAGTATCACCAGGTCCCAAGCCTTCATCATGTACTATACCTTCACCACTGTATACACCACCACCACTACCACTACTACCACCAGCAGGTAGTGGTGGTGGTGTTGTTAGAGTAACAGGCTCACGATATATGCTTGTTAATGTATGGAGTGCTCCTAATTATTGTTATAGATGTGGTAATATTGCTAGTGTATTGACACTGTATCCTGATGGATCTAGGCAAGCTAAGTTATTTAAAGAGGTACCAGTATCGGGTACACCATTACGTGATGTAATACCTTACTTTCTTTGATCATCATCATCAACAACAATGACAAGAATCACCTTTTACTTGTCTATCACTTTGATTAATAGTCATAATCATCATTAATGTCGATACTATTACTGCCACTTGTTGTATAGGCCACCTGTCCTATTACTACTACTATTACCATTCTACTACTACTACATCACATCATCATCATCCATTGGTTTCCTCTCTATTAATCCTTGTGTATCATAAACCCACTTGTTGTATCCTCGTCAGTTTTCTATCTCCATGTCCTCCTCCTTCTTCCTGTTCGTTTAGTGCCCTGATGTATTAGATGATGTTGGTTGTTACGATACTTTGCTTGTTCGAGTAGTGATCGATACTAATCGCCGCATAATATTAAGTGACTTAATGGGACTAAGATGATGATGAGGTAGTGTTAGACTCCGTTGTTGTAGTATGGTTATCATCATCATAGTATTAGGTAGTAGTACCTGATGTTGACTGCTTGATCAGTAGCATTCCCTTCAATAGTTGGGTAATGTCAGTAATAGGATGGTATTTACTCTAAACCTTCCAAGTTAGTATTACTATCCCTACTTACTATAGTTAGCCTATACCTAGCCTCTATACTGATGGAGGTAGTAGTAATGTGTTGCCACCCAAGTGATGATAGTCTCTCCTTCTCCTCACCAAGACATGTTACTACATCTACCTCTCAGACTGGCCTCTATACCCGCTGTTTATGCATATGTCATTGAGGCTGCTCGCTTATGTGATGGTGATAACTCAGTAAACCTCTATCGTTGCTGGATATGGCCAGCTCGATATCCTCCATAAGTATTACACCAAGGTCTAGGCTATTAAAACCTTTCTCATCATAATATACACCTCTACTACTGAGTCTATGGTGAGCCTCTACTCATGACACCTTATTCTACTATTACTACCTCTATGGGTAGTATTCGGTGTGGCATCACACGATCATCATCATCATCATGATGAGAGGCTTACTCTGTGACGAAAATTGTTTTGCAAATCGTAGCCTATTGTATGAGCAGTAATAGTGTTAATGCCCGATCTAAGCGTTTTTCAGGTTGCTCGGTATGATCATTGAATACTACTATTACTACCTGGTCCTACGCTGGTCCTCAATACGCCAGGATACTATCAGGTAATCGAGTCGATGTGTATCTCTATCCTCGACTTCAATGAGGATGATAGTCCTTCCTCATCCCTAATGATATTCAAAACTGTCGATCATAGAGTGTTGGAGCATCATCAGTTGTTAAAAGGGTCTAGTTGCCTCTTCGCGTGAATGATGAGTTATCCCTTTGTACGGTCGTACTTACTCTGCTTTCTGTCAACATGCTATTATCATCATAAGACCCTGCCTCCCGTTGTTGTTGTTGATGGTGGTGGTGGTGGTATGTAGTTGTATTACGTCTATAGTATCATCTGAATCGACTAGTACTACTACTACGATAATACACAATGGTCTGCATCATCTCTCGTTCCTCATTATCAACAACATCACCAACAACAACAGCTACTACAACTATCTCGAGCCCCACTATTACTACTACTACGAGCGATAGAGGTATAATATCCCCAAATAGGGTAGTACCACACATTGCTGCATCCTAAGGTACGGCAACGCTTGCAACAATTTCGGTATGTGGTGTACTTACCATAGCAGCCCTTGGGTTTGTATTGTGGTTAAACTCTATTGAGCATAATAATAGTAGTAGGAGGCAAGCTTGTTCTTCTTTACACAAGTACTAGTATCATCATAATAATACTATAGATCTTTGTTGATTACATTCTATTCCGTATTCAGGATACTACCTATTTCCTCTCTTACTACTAAAGGGGAGAGTCGATATTATTCTCAATGGTATCGTCGGCCAAGGCTTTTATCAACTCTTAGTGTTATTAATGAAGAAGAGGATGATGATGATGATTACTCCGATGAATATTCTCAAGATGCTTCTACTACGAGTTCTGAACTATTCTAAGTATGATGATTATACTACTATAACAACTATCAATTCCCTCGTGTCTGTGATATGATACAGTATTACTGTATCATGGTATCGTGCCCCTCATAACTACTTTTTATTACAAATATCCCTATGCGAGCAGCAGTGGAGTCATAATCATCATCATCGCACTAGTGCTATTACTATTCATCCACCTCCAAGTGTCAAGAGGCTCTTGCTGGTCATATCTATATGTCGTCGTAGTCTACTCCTTTGAATATAAAAGGAATGGATCTCACTACTGCTCGAGTGAAGCAGCAGTATGATAATCTTACTACTACTGCTAGTAGTACTGATCTCTGTCTTATATTCATCATCAATTAACTTCATCAAATGCGTCTCTGATTACGGTTCTATTGACCATAAAAGTATAGACGTGTTATTCACCAAGAAGCTTTGCGTTGTGATGATCGTTCACTTAGACTAGAGTATTATTATAATCATGCTCCCTGGTTATAGCAATATCGTTGTATATCCTTCTATGCATGCTACCATTAACACGATTATCATCATCATCATCATTCTATTACAATCATCAGGCATCATGCATTACTACTATGAGGGCATCAGTAGTAGCAAGATGTACATTCGCTAGTGGTGACTTCAAAAGGAAGAGAAGACTCATTGTTGATAGCCCTCCAGAGGCAGCTGCTCAACACATTAAGCAAGTTACACTATTCGATCCTTATCCATCATTCGAAGCTCCTCATCAATTCGGTTATGAAGTTGATAGAGATGGTCATTGGTATGTTGGTCATATGATGAGGACCAAACAAGCTTTACCTACATGGGCTAATCGAGTTGATGTTATTATTGAGGTCAGTAGTCATCATCATCATCATCATCATCATCATCATTATTATTATTACTATTATCCTAATTTAATATAGGTTCGAGATGCTCGAATACCTCTTACCTCGGCACAAACCGAATTGAATACGACTTTAAGAGAGTCGGGTATAAGGAAGTTACCAAGACTCATAGTACTCAATAAATGTGATCTGGTCACACCTAGCATGGCCCGAAGAGTAAGATAGATGGGTTAATAAGCTTATGATGGCCGCCGCCCGAATGGTAGGCACAGGAGATGATTGAAGCCCACTCTAATACTCAGTGTGTATTGGCAACTTCTGTTATGAAGAAGGGTGTAGTGAAGATAAAGGAATTCATGTTAGCCTCACGAGAGATACGTTTCAAGTCGTTGGGTATATATGGCCTTATATTAGGCCTACCTAATACAGGTGATGATCATGATATTGGCTGTTGTATCACATACTGTGATATTGTCAGGGAAATCTACTACAATTAATGCATTGAAACGTCTTTCACTACTAGCATCCAAAACTAGATATGATTCTCGAGATAGTATGATAGGTGTTAGTAGAGCACAAGCTAGGTGATGAATGATACATGTAAATGTTGTTCATGTCATCATTAATTATCAGAGTTACAATGTCCCCTGGTACAACAGAGCTTATAAGAGCATATCAACTTAGTCACAATCCAACACTCTATTTAGTTGATACTCCTGGTGTCACTTTCCATAAGGTGCTGCTGCTGCTGCTGCTGCTCCTCGCCTTATTATCATGATCATCATACCATCAAATATCCTTATTAGGATAAAAGTAATCCCGAGAGGAACCTAAAATTAGCAGCTGTTGGTACATTCCCTGACCACATTTTTGGTGAATTATACATCGCTGATTACATCCTTTGGAGACTCAATAATGCCCGTCTCTTTCAGTAATACCACAACTACTTGTTATTCTCTCAATAATATTATTACTACTACTCAGATATGTGAATGTATGCGCTTTGAACGCTCCCACTAATGATATCCGATCAGTATGTAGAGAGATAGCATACCAATTATGCAGTGATCCATGTAGAGATTCGGGAGCTATGGATGTCCTATCTGGTGTAGGGAAGAGATGGAAGAACAGATCTTTACTACTATCATTAGGCACGTACTTTCCTCAAGTTCTATCGTAATGGTTTACTTGGTCGTTATTGTTTGGATGCTTTACCCACCGTGAATGAATTGAATAGATATGATAATTTGGTAGAGGAAGCAGAACCTCCGGGTCCTTGGGGACCTAATACATATCCATTGGATCAACGTGCTACCATACTCACATCGTATACTTAATGTGTTTCTCATTATTATGGTATTATTTTGTTATTGTTGATCACTATTACTGGAATTTATGCCCAACTCATTCCTATTCATTGAGAGGGTGAAGAGCTCTCTTCTCTATTGTTAGGAACAGTTGTCTTCTCATCGCCTCAAATATCAGTATCCTTGATAGTATTGGTAGTATCATGTCTACAGATCATCATCATTTGGATGAGAATGCGTTCATGGTGGAGACGAATAACCAACATCATCATCTGCATAGGGAATCATCATTGATAATAAGCAAACTATCAGCCTCTGAGAAGTTATTGGAGAAGTTAGCTCAGTGAGTATCCTACTTCATCTTCTACTATGGACATATCACGCTTAGGTTCGATAGTAAAGTTAAACGCTTTAAGTATGATGATGGAGTAGAAGACCAGAAAAGTGATGATCATAATGGGCTCCATGATGATGATGATGAGGTCCCACCTGAGGTAGTATTATTGTTTATAATGTGATTATTACCTTCTCCTCCTCCTCTTAGGGTATACCTAAAGGGGCTGTACCTCCTAGTGGTCATCTTATACTCAAGCATCTACATCTACCAGGGACTATCATTGATATTATTGGTTTGGAAACTATATTAAGTACAAGGAATATTAGGGTTGTTGAAGATCTTGGGTATTCAGGTAGGTAGGCTAATCGTGGTGAGCCTAACCATTGAGCAGATATAAAACATTTATATAAGGCCTTACTTGATGAAGTATCTAATATGGGCGATATTCATGGTGATTTATTAGATCTGGAGAAGTTATTCAAAGTAAGAATGGCAGTAGCCGATAATATTTAAATACAGTTAGGTATCCGATACCCATAAAGAGAATAATAACTCTACAAACGATGATCACCATGATATACGATTCATGACTGATGAATATCTTGCCTCCGATAGAGCAGGGCAGAAGATGATGATGATGCTATGCACTGTCTATGATGATAATATGATAATGAAAGGCCTCGCAGGAGACGATGGTGGTGGAAATGAGTCTTCGATGGTTAATGCTAGAGATAGGAAAAGTATGCTCACCAGGGGATAGGAGTATATAAGATGTGAAGCAGCTCCTCATATTCAGAAGTTAAGCTCAATGCTCTCAATGCTATTCGTATATCATATCTTCAACATGGTAAGAACGTCAATAACGTCGATGTCATAAAGGGAATCCTCAAGTTATTGGCATTGGATAGTGATACTGCCGTTACACTTAGTGTAATTATACTTATAGGGCAATATGAGCAAATACTCCCCTTTCACCTTGTAGGCACTAAGTGCATTAGAGGCGGTTCCAAAAGAAGAGGGTCATTGGGTAGAGGAAGGGATAGCATCCTATCTATCACGGCCTACAATCACTTCAAGGGATGCTACTAGTGACGAACTAAAATGTGTATTATCTAACATTATGAACATACATCTAGAAGCAGTACTAGAAGGATGTTATAAGTCTATGGAGAGTAGGATGAAAACTGTTGACAAAAAGAAGAGGAAGATGATGAAGTGGATACCTTATCAGCTCATTACAGCTCATCTAGATCCTCACACTACATCATCTAAGGTTGGTACGCATGATGGTACGTAATTATACATTCTCAGTTAATGGACATTGCAATGGCATTACTACGTGTAGATGCAACATTCGATGAAGGGTCGATAACCAGACTGCGAGTGAGTATAGCAAGAGGAGTATTGAAATGATATGCCCCTTATAATCATCAGGAATCGGCTGAAGAGGAGCTCATCCGACTTGGAGAATCTGATGTTGTTCATGGCGCTTGATGACCATCAACCTTATTGGTGCATGCGAAATTAGTTTCCATTAAAAGTATGTTTAGTATGATCATTAGTCATGGCCCCGAGATTATCAACGATACTCACTTGCCATGGTCTCTATATTAATATTTATATCGCTGGACAGAACATATCGCTGCATATCTCATAGAGTATTCGCTACAATAAACACTCAAATATCCATCATTACATCCTTAACAGTTGGCACAGATATAGTAGTCTTAGAAAAAGTGTAGTACTATTATCTCGATAACTCTGGTTCTTAGCAGCTAGATTTGTGAAATGTCCATTGGGCCAATGGCATTGGGCATGGTGTTGTACATATCACCACTTTTCATATGGCATCCATATCGAGAATGGCGTCCCGACCCGAATTGGAGAGATAACGAATTGTCTGACTGTTGAGTCAGTTACCACATTATCATCAAATGTGAGGTGTTGTTCTTCTTTCCATGAACGTAGCGTCTTTAATATATCATCTCTTCGTGACGAAGAGGCGGAGCTCGCTTAGTCCTTGTCTATTGATTCATTCAATAGACGCATCAAGCTCTACCCCGGAATATGGCCGCGGTTCGATCCCCGGGTAGGACATTTTCCCGTCATTATAGGTTTTCGTGCATATCTCTTCGAGCTGCTCGCACAATCGAGTTTTTCAATTTTTGCGCAAACGTTGGCATATAGAGGAGTCGTTTGATCTATCTGGTGGCCTCCTATGCTCCGTAGTTAGGCCAGAATAATTCTGCACGCACGCACGCACGCACAACGCGAAAGTGCCTCCTGTTGTTGCGGTATATGCTCCGCTGGCTTCGCAATTTAGAGTTACCGCCACGTCATCACCTCAACATTAGCAAAGTGATATCGAAGTATCTTGTTAAGACACGCTAGTCCAGGAATTATACGTGATGCTTTCATGCACAATTCAATGATGCTAACACGAGTCACCAATTACGTGAAAAAGACGATCTCTAGAGTCGTTAAAATCTGTATGTCTAGAACAATGTCGTGGAAATACTTCACCAATACAGGTCAAGTTGACATGAAAAAAATCCACGTGGATGCAGGTCCATATTGAATGTCATCGGTTATGTCCTTATTCGTGTTGATGGTGACTTAAGATGCTTCCAATACTAGAAGGAAGTCTTGAAGTCTATTGCAGGCATCATGAATATTCTCGATCGATGTTGCATATCTATTATGGAGTAATAATAATTACTACAATTAGCACCCTCATTACGACAGCCTGACTACTGGTTGTGTGGTGCAAAACCCGTCTCCAGGTACTATCGATAAACCATGTGAAGATAATAGATGTTCACCTAAAGCAAGGTCGTATAATAATAAGGGCAGATAGTAGTAGTATCATCACTACAGAGTTGAGCAACTCCTAGTGTAGGATCTCCCTTCGAGTGTCTTAATTTGTTAACATAATACCCCAGATCAGGCATTGCATAGAAAGCACCTTTTGGGGGTTTATCCGGACATATAACATTAGGTATCATTCTTAGACGATCAAAGAGTGTATCCCTTTTATATTGGAGTTCTGCTAATCTATCCTTATGCCAAGATGATGATACATCACATAAAGCAGCTACGCCTCCAATTTGGGATGCTGTGCCTATGAGGGACTTATTAAATTATAAGCATAAATATAATTATGTTACATGGACAACCTGTTACTTGACCTAATATCTTCCCAATAGCTCTATCGATCCAACGATCATCACTACATACAGCATACCCAAGACGTAAACCAGTCATAGCGAATGCTTTGGAGAATCCACCGATCGTACTAAATATGGATAGTAATAATAATAGTAATAATAATACAATCATCCTACATTATCCTATCTCTCACTATTGGACTACATACACCCGCTAGAGTATAATGAATATCCCCATCATATACCAACCTTTCGTAACTAATAATAATGAGCCTTACACTGATGATGATGATCTATTATAACGATGCTAGCCAATATTACAGATCATCACATACAGCCATAATGCCGGTATGTTGTTGTAGGAGTTCAGCAATACGTACCAATCTAATGTAACGATGTACAAGGTAAGTAATAATGACTATTATTACTCATCCTTGGGTATGACATAACCAGTAGGGTTACACGGTGAGTTCAAGACTATGATCTTAGTCTTGGAAGTGATAGCCTAATACGACTAGATATACTCATAGTATTATTAGTATTATTATTACAGATGCTATGCTATGAGCAGTAATAGCATATTGAGGAGAGATGCTTTGGACATATACTGGGGTAGCATCACACATACGAGCCAAATCTGGGAATGTTGGCCAACATGGAGTAGGTATTATTATCTACTAATCTCATGTGTTAATAATGATGATAATGATGTAGTTGATACCTCATCTCCAGCATTAAGAATAGCCATAAAGGAAGCAGCAATAGCAGCCTTGCCACTAGCAGTAATAACTACATTCTTAGGCTCAATGCCTTCAATACCTTTACGTATACGAAGATCATCTGCTATTGCCTTTCCTGAGAACAATGACTGCTCATACTATCAATGAGCCTCCTAGACTCATCATTACTGAGATTGAATATACCATTGGAGGGGGAGTATCTGCACCCTTCTCCTGATGTTAATGATGATGCAATAGCTGATGTTATCTACTCAAATAATAATCATCATTAACACCATAGTTGGATTAGTACTACCTCTATTGGTGGTTTAAAATCAGGTTCCCCAACACCTAATGCTCCTTGTATATCTCGACCCTCTCTCTTTAATTCTGTCGCTTGAGCATGTAGTCTAACAGTTGTACTAGAAGGTACTCTATCACATAGGTTCGAGTATGGAATAGTCTTTAAGGTAATCTGAATACCACCATGAGTGATGCAGCAGCAGCAGCAGTAGATATCGACAAGCCCTAATGATAATGTAGGCCTATCATTACATCGTCGACATTATTATCGTCATCTTCTTCTTCATCATCTTTATCGTCTTCTAGTAGCAACATATCCTTCACCTTATGGAAACTACTTTGGAACGCCAGTAGTTGCTGTTCAGAAGCCGTATTATAACGATATAAACCCTTGAATAAGACGTCACTAAAGAGACGTCGTCAAGTAACAATTATTCTTGCTATTAGCTCATATGCTTACCTATCATTGATAGTATTATTCATGAGTTTAATAAGACTCCTAAAACCTAGAGTATCGATATTAGTAGTATGTAGTTTGGGTGTAATACCCCCTAATACTCTTCCAGTAAGATGTGTTATAAATTGTGTAGCAGCAGCTATCTTATCATGATCTGATGATGTCATTTTAACAAGTCTACATCCACATTTCTCGAATAACCCCAACCACCATTTACTATCATAATCATCATGATCTGATAATGATGTTTCTAATAATACCATACTATCATCATATACCAATGGTAGATTATACCAACCATATTTACCACTATCGGGGCCAAACATAGGATGAGTACATAGAATACTCACAGATAATGATGTAGTAATATAGGATGTATCATCATCATCATCATTTTGGAAGAATGCCTCTTTCAAAAGCTAATAATAATAAAGCGAGTATTAGTAGTAGTATTAGTTCTTATTACTTCTTTAGGATACTCCTTCACGCTACATACATCCACTATTAGTAGGTTTTTCTTTGATCTCCTTCTTGTTGTTGTTGTTGTTGACTTGATTGCTGATGATAATTCATGTATAACATCCTTTAATGATAATATTGAGGTGGCAATAACAATAATATCGGGTTGCTCATGATGTAGCATAGCTTTTATATTCATATCAGGATAGTATCTGAGCATATATAACTACTACTACCACCACCACACCACCTCTTTCTCCTGCTCTTCACTACCTTATACCAAGTGTCTTAGCATGATCAGATCTCCATCTATCATCACCATCCTTCCTATTAGTAGCACTGAAAGTCGTAGTATCACCACATACTCTCGTCAATCGATCACATAAGAATTGGGCAAATTTACCGTACCTGATGATGATAATAACAACAACTACAAATACGACGATAACGACGACAACGACATATCATCATAGTTGTTGTTGTTGTTGTTTATACCCAATGAAAGATACGGATCGTGTTGTTGATATCTTCCTTGTAGTAATAGAAGGTTGAAATAGGGATGGTAAGGTTGAAGAAGAAGGTGGAGAAGGGTATTCATGAGTTGTTCTTGTTGTTGTTGTTGTTGTTGTTGACGATGGGTAGACTGATAGTACCTAGATGTAATAGTAATAATAATACTGCATATTATGACGTATTACTCTAACAAAATGATTGAACTCTTTGAGTGTATGGATAGCTCTATTAACAGCTCTATCCTGTCCCGGCATTTTCAATACATCAATATAACATAAGTAGTGATAATAAGCACTAGTAGTAGTAGATGGATGATGATGATGATGTTGATAAGCTTTATTATGATCATCATCTTCATAATCATCCAATAATGATGTTTCTAGACTAACATATATGAAACAGATATTTCTTGAAGATAGGTTATGCAGTAATAATAGTACTTAGTGGTATCATCGAGCATAGCAGGTGGTACTGGTCTTGATTCTAGTTTGGTTAATTGTAAATTCCTATGACTGAATGCTGATAAAGATGTATACATACTGCCAGGCCTAAGACGATTATATATTATCACAACAATAATAGATAGTAGTAATAAGCTTACGTATCTTGTACTCTGAATACTATACTAACCTTAGTAGGTATAGTAGTATTATCCATATTAACAAATGGAGATGGTGTGTGACCCAATAGTAAGAACCTACTACCATATTATCATCATATTGGTGACAATGATGATGATGATGATCATGTAGTAGTAGTACTACTACCTAGTATGATTAAAAGCTATATCTTGTATATCGGTATCAACAACATGTAGATTGTATATATCAGCAGCTAGTCTACTACTTATCGCAGCACTAATACCCTCTTCTTCATCATCATCATTTATGCTGATACTTGATAACATTTTAGCAGCTCCAGCTGTATCACCATATATAATAGATTTAATATTATGTTGGCGTAAATATAGAGCACATTGTGCTAAAGCTTGTGGATGAGAATAGGCTCTATCTACTTTAGATGGGTTATCTATCTTTCTCCTTGTTAATAGACAATGTTTAACAGGGAAATCTATTTCACCAAGTATGAATACTAATCCACTGTAACGTAATAATAAATCTAAATAATACATTAATAAAAAGAATAAGATGATGATTATAGTATTACCATAATTAGCATGTATAGTACCACCTAATGTATTCTCTATA